GTCGATTCTTTTGTCATCACTTGTGGCGGGCCGTAAGTGTTCATATCCAGTGAGTGGCACTGTTTTTGGCTTGTGAGCACCTTTTCTGAATCCAAACTTTTCCAACACGTTTTGAATGTATTGTTCTTGGTCAAGATATAGGGTCCGGTTCTTTCTATCTCGCATGACCCTAGCTCCAAGTATCTTTTCTATCTCCCCCAGATTCTTGGCGCTGAATCTTGTCGATAACTTTTTATAGAACTGATCCAAATGTTTTTGAGACTTAGCCGATGCCACAATGTCATCAACATAAACCAATAGACTTGTACCATTGTCGTGAGTAAACATGCACGGATCGGCAAGGCTTTGTGTGAATCCCCATGTCAGTAACGAATCTTTGATCAGACAGTTCCAGTCTCTTGCAGCTTGTTTTAGCCCATATAAACTTCGAAGTGCTTTCCAGACGTAGCCTCTTTTAATTGAAATCCCTTTAGGTGGCTGAAGAAAAATGTCCTCTTTAAGATGAGATTCTGTAAACGCATTCTTGATATCATAATGGAAACATTCTAAGTCTTCAGCAGCAGTGACGGCAAGAAATAATCGAAGTGTGTCCATTCTTACTGTTGGAGCAAATGTTTGATTATAGTCAAGACCATGAATCTGACTGAATCCACGCGCTACCAGTCGGGCTTTAAAACGTTCAATTGAGCCGTCGGTATGAGTCTTGATTGTGTATACCCATTTGCAGGATACAAGATTTACGTCTTTTGGTGGTATGACTTCCACAAATGTATTATTTTTTCTGAGTGACACCATTTCTTCATTCATTGCCTTTTTCCATTCTTCTGAGTAGGTTGGGTCTTTCGTTGCTTCTGCAAAGCTAGAGGGAATTTTTATACCCGCAATTACCTCGGCTGGAAGTGCAGATTCTACATCTTTATCATGTAGCTGATGCAATAGTGTAATGTTCGTTAGATCATTTCTTCGACTTTGAATCAATTGTGCAATGAATACCTTGACACGTTTGGAATCTCGAAGCGACTCAGTTTCTTGCTGAGAGGTACGTTTCTGAGCGGTGGAGCGTGTAAAGTATCTGTGCCTTTGCAGTGGGAATAAATGTTTTGGGGTCGAAAAATTGTGCTCAAGATTAGTGTTAGCTAATGAGGTATCTACGTTTGAATTCTTTGTCTGAGAATTCAATGACAATGTTTCTGTTGAATGATTAGCATCAACTGGATATTCTTCCTCTAATTCATCTGAATCATTGTCCATAGCAAGTTTCTCAACATCAATTTTTTCTGCTTCGCCATCACTCATGTTTTCTTCGTCGTCTTGTGAAATTATCTCCTCGTAAGGTTGACGATTTGTATCTTGGTGTTCACAATTTCCATTTATCTCATATCTCTCATATACTTCTCCTGAATCAGAGTCCGTATCGATGTCTGTTTCTGAAGCCAAGTTATCACTTTCAGGTTCTTTTTCCAGATCCATATCAGGCGCGCTCAGATTTTCTAAGTGCTGATCGTTGATTAAGGTCTTCTCTAAGTCTTGACGAACGTTTTCACTGCTGCGAGCTGCTTTTTGGAGGGTGGGCTGAATCATTGTGGGGAGTTCACTACTGCCCACTATACTTACATGTTCTCGACTGGCATCTCCTTTATTATGAGCTGGACGTGTATCAGTGAGTGTGATGGCTTCTGAGTTAAAGTTATGCTCCTCAGTTTCTTTTGGTTTATCCTTCTCTGTACTAGCTTGAGGAAGACTCAACTTTTGTTCAATCTGCACATTTCTTGGTCTACCTCTTGGTCTTCTATCCATGGTCACATTCGGTGTTCCTTGAGGCCCGATCTTTGCATTTCGTATCTTTAGATCAACTGTTCCTCCTTTCTCGTTCTCGTTAATCACTACACGACTTGATAAAATAGTGTATCCTCGTTCCGGTGAATAAACCTTCAAGTGTTTTGTTGTATTCTCAGAATATCCTACGAATACGCCTACTCTCGCTGGGTTAACAAGTTTATCGTGTCTTTCATGAGCAGGCAGTGTCTTTTTATCTACATAGTAGAAACATTTACTCCCCCATTTCCGTATATGATCAATTGAAGGGGTTTCACCCGTAAAGGCTTTGATTGGACTGGTTTTCATATTCGAAATTATTGGGCCAGAGTCAGTTCGGTTGCGTATGTAGCAGTCAGTTTCTGCTGCTTCATCCCAGAACTCAATTGGAAGCTGGGCTTCTTCTAGCATTGCCCTCATATCGAACTCAACAGTTTGGATCGAACGTTCTGCAGGGCCGTTCTGATGCGAAGAGGCAATAGTGGTTGATTGTGCAAGAACTCCATCTTCTATTTTCCAATCGTGGATGGCTTTGAGGAGTTCGGGTGCGTTGTCTGATCTTGCACATTTAACTTTCTTGCCCGATTGATGTTCAGTTACTGTTTTCCAGGTTTTTAATGCCTCATATGCATCACTTTTGGTCTTTATTGGAATCACCCAATTCATTCTGCTGCAAATGTCAATGATGAGGAGGAACCATCTGTTGCCTCTGATACTTGTTGGGAATGGGCCAGCGACATCAAATTGAACTTGTCCCAGTATTTCATTGATCCAAGGGCTTAGGACCTTTGGGATCCTGTTTTTCATCTTAGTAAGTGCACATACCTCACAGACATCGAGATCTCGTGGAATCTTGATCTGCTTTTTGAGTGTAGTAACCAGATGTAAGTTTCGAATTTTTTCAGGTCCTAAGTGAGCAAAGCGACGGTGGTACTTGAGGTATCTTTCCCTTTCGTTTTTCCGGATAGTTTCTTGATGTGAGTTTTGACTCGGGCTCACATATGAAGTGTTATTATTTGACCTGTCGTTTTCCACAGAATTAAACGCAGTCTCTTCATATCCTTCAGCGATATGCGTCACAGTATAGAGTCCTTGATTCATTCTAGCTTCAATGATAACTTTATTGCCTAGCTTAAGGAACAATTCATTTTGATTACCCGCAAAGTTCAAACCTGCTTGACACAGCCTTCTCACTGATAGAAGATTAACTCCCAGATTTGGAACAAATAAAACATCGGAAAGAAGCATTGAAGATCCGTCTTTACACCTCATTTGAACATCGCCAGAAAATTCAGACTTTAATTCGCCCCCTCCAACCTTTACTCTTTTGGGAACAATTGGTATAAGTTTCCTAAATAGAAGAGGTTGGTCAGACATGTGAGACGTGGCGCCAGTATCGACGGGCCAATCAGATGGAGTAGCCTTACATATTTCTTCCTTTGACAGGTGACATTCTTCGCAATCTTCATTTTCTGAAGCTAATGTTTCAGCAGAGAAGGCATTGTGATATCTGGACTGCTTTTGTGCTGATCGAGAAGTTTTGGGTTTATCTTTATCTTGCAGGCGTGGTTTAGTTGATTCCTGCACTTTCTTCTTCCTATCGTGCTCTTTCAAAAGTCTCGCAGCTGTTTCTAACCTAGGACATCGAGCGACAGTGTGTGACCGTTTACATAAATAGCACCTATAAGCAGGGCTATCAGAATCAGAGTCTTGATTTTGTCGCATTTTCTGTGGAAACTTAGACAACTTTTGCCTAGCAACTAGGGCTTTTTCATTCTGAAGTCGTAGATCTTCTTCGACTTCGTTCAAAATCTTCAGCTTATCCTCAACAGAAAGAGTAACCTGTATTCTGAATCCATCTGTTGTCGCCTTAAAGGCCGCTGGGAGTGTCTTTGTCAGAATTAAGAATAACGCCGCATCTGGATAAGCGTTCTTCATGATAGGATCTGCACTGATGAGTTTTCGGCGAAACTCTTTTAGCTTAGCCCAAGAATTGTCCAAGCCCATTTCTTGACGGAATTCAAACGTTGCAATTTTAGTTAGATACGTGTTTGCAGAATACTCGTTCGTTCTAAAATACTTGTCTTTGAGTGCGTTCCAGACTCTGAGTGCTGTCTCGTGCTCATCAATCAGATCAAAATCTTCTGCGCTGAGAGCCTGGAGTATGAGGAAAAGTGACGTTGCTTCAGCTTTCTCATACTTTTCAACTTTTGTTTCGTCCAAACTCGTACTCAGCACTTCAACTTTGATTGATCCTCCATCGATACCAGATGTCGAAGGTATTGTTTTACTTCGGTTTTGTTTCGTGGTCGCGTATTCTTCCAATGTTGTTTCAATAGTGAAAAATACTGACCTAGATTTAAGTTTTAGCTTCATTTCTCTGAACCAGCTCTCATAGTTATCCCTTGAGAGCGAGGGGATGCGGCCAAGGGCTTCATTATCCTCCATTCTTGTGAGGTTTAGTCCAAGGCGAAATTTCGATTCCTTGCTCGAATCGTAGACGATTGTAGATTCCTTTCTCGAATCTTAGACGATTGTAGATTCCTTTCTCGAATCTTAGGCTAAGCCGTCAAGGCTTTGGAGTCGATTTTGATTCTATTTATACCTGTGGCAAACCGGGCTCATAACCTATTAAATTTGGGAGGACTTCTGTCGCAGTATGACTGTATAGAAGACGATGGAATTAGCACAGTGGATTGAGGTCAGATAGAATCAGATATTCAAGTTAACTAAAAGTATACTAAGATCGAGACAGCCAGACTCCTAAGTACAAATTTTCCTCCACGCGACTGATCTGCATGAATAGCGTAATTGACGCGACTCATGTGTTTGACTCTGCCTGACTCGGATTGCCCCTGTAGCAGCTAGACACACCTTGTCATTTAACATTTTCTTTATCTTTCGATTTCTAATGGTTTCTTTGGTTGGCGAAGCCACGCCGGTAGGTAGTAGTGAGTCAGCATGAATCACAAACCCGTATTACGTCTCATGGGTGTAGAGCATAAGCCTAGTATAAATAGAATTCATATCATAGCATCAAACTCAAAGTCAACAGTATGATTACAAGGAATTACTCAACCAAGGCCTCCTAACAAATCCAAATCGTAATGAAGCATTTCATGAAACAAACAGAACTAAGTATTACAATCCATTTTTTCCTACTCAGAGCTCCAGAATATTTTCTTCTAGTTCTGCAAACAATCTTCCTCCAGATCTTCAATCTCATATCCCTCCCGAGATCGTGAATCCATGCTGAAATAAGTCAGCTTCTGCACTCTAACCGACAGAATTTCAATAAAATCGCCGCGTTTCAACTTCGACTCGACTTACACTTCTAACCAGTCTAGTGGCCATGTCGTCTTTTCACAGCTAGTATACGATACCTTTCCCGAATCGGTTTTTTCGCGTACCATTCCGAGAAATTCGCATTTTGACGGCGAGAATACAACATAATTGTAACTGTGTATGACTAATCACAGTTTAATTAGTTGATGACTTCCATCTCGAAAAATAAACCATCCCGTGTATCTTTTGCATATCTTCCAAGGCCAAATATTGCAGATTCTTAGAAAAATCGAGAAATCGAGAAATCGAGAAATCGAGAAATCGAGAAATCGAGAAATCGAGAAATCGAGAAATCGAGAAATCGAGAAATCGAGAAATCGAGAAATCAAACACTTCGAGCTATTGAGAGCAAACTTGGACTCGAGAAGCACATAAATACCAAAAAGTTGAATAACTTACAAGGAACAGATTCAGGCACGAGATCCATCTGAGCATCCTTTGGAAACCCAAATTTCTCGGTCTCGGGGAAAGGCTTGGACGTAACGGTGGCTTTGAATACTTTTATTAAAAAGAGCAAGAACCCCTTTTTATTCTTCCGTTGCTTTAGCTTGTTACAAGCGCTTTTCATGGTCGATTTGATATCTCTGATATTAACTCGTGATGAAAGACACTGATAACCGATATGCTTCGGCTTGCAATCTCGTTTATTGAGGTCGTAAATGCTAGAGCTGGAAGCTGGCCGAGCAAAGCTGCTGCAAGTTAAAATTAAAAAGAATAAGGCATAAAGCATATAAGCGTGGGCGAAGGATCTCATGGTGAAATATTCTGAGCTTTCGGCGTAGGGATTCAAGGTTATTACGAGGAAAGTAATAGAGAAGTAAGTAAAAGATGAATGATCAATGATACTCAAACCTCAACTCTGGCCAGCATTCTTATAGAATTAATTCTTCTGATGTGGCGAATTCAAAGCCTCATAGCCTCCAATTTCTGACAATCAGATTTTTATCTGTGTGGCCCAAAATATGTAGCTAAGTCGAAGCTTTCAGAATATTCAGGCTAAAGAACACTAGCCAGCCATACGGTCCACTCCATAAAAACTGGAATATAGAGATAAACACGCTTCAATAGCTCTAAACTCTTCGAAGACAGAAAATTTACTTGATTCATTCAATTACACACATCAGACTAACCGGAATAGATCATCAGTGTCATGCCTCCCAAAATGCTACTTTACAGGGCGATTATTAACTTTAGTGGAGAACCTTTATTGTACTAGACCTAAATACCACGGAGTTGATGGCCCTAGAGAAAAGCGAGCAGTAATTATTTCCGATATGTTCCATAGTATAGCTCCCATGTGAACATATTCAAGCGGTTAGTCGAATATTTGGAATATGATATTGCCTCATAGATGTTGCAGAGAAATTTTGTATGCAGGCGATCAAATTTTGCAACCAGCATCAAAGCTGAGTTGATACAATTTTACGCTTCATATTTTTAGTGAAAGATGGGCATTCGGGGCGTCTCGTTCAAAAGTTTTGATGGGCTAGCCGAGAAAGAGGCGTATTCTTGATAGTGGAGAACTGGTCATTTCTTGTATCTTAAATTCCCTTGGGTTTATATCCTTCATACATTATGTACAGTCAGGAAAGAAATATGAGGAATCTGACATTTGAACGCTCTCAAATCGAATCAATCAGAGGTAAACCGTTTATCAAATCTATCGCTTGACCTCGATTATGAGTCCTCCTATCTATTTACCACCAATTATCTATTAAAGTACGGGCATGTGCGTCGGCTTATCTGGGTCAGTTAAGCGGACGAAGAAGGACGAAGAAGGGCGAGTTTTATGGTTTGTGGCGAATACGACTGGATGGCGATGTTTTGCATGCTCCGGCACGTAGAGACCGGTAGAAATCCAGCAGCCTCATTTTTAGAAAAGACTTGAAATTTAGGCTGGCTGGACTGGGTTGTCTACAATCGTCATCCATCTAGCTTACCAGACGAATAACCCAAAGAAATATTCCTATAGCTTCTAATACCCTTGTAGCCTGTAGCTTATTTTCAATGATCAGGAGATCAAGAAAATTTTACGAGTTGCGATAATTGGTTTGATTATTGTTAATTATCAAGCAGGAGATAGATTGTATTAAAAGTTTATTAAACCCTCAAACGGGACATTTTGGTGGTTTGACAGGGTCAATCTCTGTGATATCACAGGCAATGAGAATGGGGTTGCTATTGCAGGAATTGTTGGAAATTCTGCCACTCGAATTTAGGACTCACCCGTAATCTGTTTCGTCTGGGGGACTTTTCTCAACACCTGTCAGTGGTGTCCCCTAGGAACCTCCAGCTCTCACTGTAGAGTCTGCAGAGCCGAGATTGAGTAACAAAGTCCTCACTTCGATTGGGATTCCCCATCGCTTTCGCAGTCTGTATCGTCTTCATCTCTCAGCATATCCCTCTATCACCATTATCATGAAGCTAACCACGATCAGATCAGATGGTAGGGTCGGAGCCCTACTCTTGGCCAACCCTTGATCATGGAGGAAAAGCCATCCGATGGGTTTCCGGTGCGTAGCCAGCACCCGATACGGAGATTGTGGATTGAAACGATTCGGCCTTAATTGTTACAAAGAAGGGAGATATAGATGAATATGCGCACCTCATGTGGTCCCGGTGTCTAGGCCTCGCCTGGCTAGGGCTGCAGGTTTTTGAGACTTTTTCCCGCGCACGCAGTTTCCATTGCTACCATTTTAGTTTTTTGGGGTAGAAGGTTCCGCGGAAAATGTGGCCGAACTCCACGGGTCAACATTGAGCTGAATGGCTTTTTATCACGGGCAATATATCAATGATCTTTTAAGCTACGAAAGAGGCAAGGAGCACTGTACAAGGTGTGGCCTGGGCCATAGAAGAGCCCAATGTGCAATATATACAATGACTCAAGAAGTACAATAAACACATCACCTCTCTCTCTCTCTCTCTCTCTCTCTCTCTCTCTCTCTCTCTCTCTCTCTCTCTCTCTCTCTCTCTGTTTCGTATGAGGTTTCCGACAAGATAGACTCTCTCTACGCATGTCCCGAGTGCGCTCATCGCGCCTACTTTTTCATACACGTTTGGCAATATACGTACTAAAGTGTACCTTGGCTCATCATGGAAGATGAGAGATGGCTGTTCATCACTAGGTTTGACAGGCATATGAGACTAGTGGTAGTTTCTCCCCTAAGATGTATATATAAGTCCAATGTTCCCACAGTCGTAAAATATCAAGTCTTCTTTACTTCATCAATATCTATATAATATCGTACAGAGTATATTTTCCAACAGAAATAGTGGCTGGTTCAGATATATATATATATTTATCTATGGGCGCCACCGAAACGTCAATACTATCTGTATCCAGGAGGGCAAGACTGAACACCTGTACGCGATTTTCTCTACGAACCTTTGAGTGAAATATTCTCCCAGAACTAACTTCAGTCAAATTTCGCAATTTCGAAAAAGTTGGCCCACGAGGCAATAATTCAAAATATTCCATCAATTTTCCATTCTCAAAGATATCGAATCCTACCTAAGCCTCATCAAGTCTACAAGTACGACCTAGTACATTCTCATTCCAATGACCACACCTCTTGTCGACTTTCTCTGGCCTCAGCCGGTCGCCAGATACACGCCCACGCCGATATTTACACCGACGGAGAAAACAAAGCGTAGCGCACAAACCTGGAAGACTGTTCTTTTGGATGGACGTGAGAGGGTTCAGGACAAGTTCACAAGATAATGCAGAGGATGGATATGTTAAAGATTTAATCTGTCCATAACTCTGAGCTTGATGATGGCCAGCAAGACGAAGAATATCATGACCTGTCATTTAAGATAAAAGGGCGAAAAGGGCAATAATTAGAAGATAGGACCAATATAGTAAGGAGTGATTAGCCCAGAGTAGTTATGGGCATTGTGAATGTAGTCGGAAGCATCCTCATGTTAAAGAGGAGTCAAGAGCGCGATATATATATATACACGTGTCCTATCCCTATCACTAGTTACCAGACCCCGCACTGCCATAAACACCATCAATCTCTGCTATCCATCGCAATCCCGAGTATCAATATGAGTTACTATTATACGGTATGTTTGTACAGGTCGACATCAAGATAGAAATGTTAACAGGATACAGTCTTGATGGGCGTGAAATTTCGAAATTTGGCAATGAGTTTTTACAAATTGAGTTTTGTACGTCCCAAAGCTTCAGTTGCGAGAGTGCAGGCAACACCATAAACACCGCCATGGTTGGTTGGTTTGGTGGTACATCGTTTTGGCCGGTCTGCGAAGTAGAGTCTGGATAGCTTGGACACATTTCTCACTCCAGACAGTAGATCGCCGGCTCAAATCCGGTAAAATACAATCACATTTCTCGCGGCGCTGGTATACATGGATAACGAAGGCATGCTTGGATAACCAAAGGTTTTGAAACGTTCCTATGGTGGGTACTCACGGAGGAGGGTTGACTGATTGTGTAAGCAAGCATACCTCATAGTGGTATTTGCAAATAAAATTCAGAATATGAGTGTCTCTAAGGTGAAAAGAGTCATCGTATATGTATACATAGCACCGGTCATTTGTCATAGCTGAATATGTTAGAGAAATAGATCATGTCCTAGTAGATAGAACATGGAACCTCCAGTATCGGATTACACTACTCGCTTAGTTACGAGCCGTGCACTGTCTGGACACTAGACGCATCAGTTGTTATTCACCGAGTAATATAAGCGACGAGTCGTAGAGACGATCTGTCAAGTGAAGGAGTAGTCATTCTTTGATGACACAAGTCATTGATAGAGTACTTCTCAGTTATACGAGGGAATGAGGCACGTTTAGAATAGAGTAGATAATTGGAACACAGTTTGGTGAATGGGGACTTCCATAAGACCCAACTCATATCACTACTGTGGGATATCAATTCATTACTGATTCATCTACGCCTTACATTTGCTGTGCAGTGTCTCTTATCAAGTTATACAAGTGATCAGAGTACATATATTTTAATAGAATACACATTAAATGATTAATAAAATAAAAGTCTGCGCTCGTCCAGCATGGGTCCTAATTCCTTGCATGGAGCTTGTTGACTAGGACTAGAAGTCATCAGCCTCCTAAACATCCAGCTTTCTCCTTCTTAGTTGAGCCAAGCGCAGCCCGTAACATTCCGAACATTTAGACTGTTAAAGGATAATTCTGTGGAGGGCAAGACTGAACACCTGTACGCGGTGCCCTCTACGAACCTGGGAGTGAAATATTCTCCCAGAGCCAAGTTCAGTCAAATTTCGCAATATCAAAGAAGTCGGCCCACGAGCCAAAAATTCAAATTACTCCACCACGTCAAATTTTCGCACCCGACGAGTTTGACTTCTACCTAAGTCTCATCAATTCTGCAAGTACGACCTAGTACATCCTCATCCCAATGATCATACCACTCTTCGACCTTCTCTGGCCTCAGTTGACAACCAAATATACGCCCACGCCGATATCTACACCCGCAGGAGGAAGCAAAGCGTGGCGCACAAATCTGGGAGACAGTTCTTTGGGATGGACATGAGAGGGATCAAGACAAGTTGACAAGATGATGCAAAGGAAGAATACAACCTCGAAGGGCATGAAATTCCGAATTTTGTCAAAGAGTTTTTCGAAGTGGGCTTTGTGCGCGCCAAGACTTCGCTTGCGAGAGTTCAGCTGACACTATAAAAACAAGCGAACGATGGAAGGTGCCGTGGTCCGCCTCCTGGTGATGTTCTCTGGTATAGTCTGAGTAGCCTG